TGTTGGACATGGGGAGATTGCAAGTGGGCATGTGTTTGTAGGTGTTGCAACAATGTGTGTCACAGGCCGCGACCAGTTCAAGCGATAGCGGCCATGAATGCTTTTTATAGCTACCTCGTCACCAGGTTCCCAACTGCATCCATCGATCCTGTGAACGCGACGAGCGATGTCGTCGTTTGTATCGGGGGCGGGAAAATGGTGCACCAAGATCGCGTCGACCAGACGGCAGAGGCCATGCAGGCAGGCGCTTGGTCTCGCTCGCATGGTCGTTCGCAATGTGTACATGCTAAACGTTCTACCGGGCAGCCACGACGCTGTTGGGATGAGAGGCCTTCCCATGCTTGTGATGGCACGATGGACACGTGGATTGACGTACAAACTGCAGTTCTGAGCCCCGCTCGACGTGCCTATGGTTTATGCTACGTGGTCGTACTCCAAATAGCGTCCCAGCAGCTCGATGCACCCAGCCGCTGACGGCGTCAAGCCCACCGACCTAGGACGGTACAAGATGAGCTTGGCGTCTGCCACCACATCAAGAACAGACCTCCACGAGTTGACCACGTTTTGTGTCGACTGAAAGATCAGCTTGGTTGCTTCGTATTGATCTACTGGCCCTTGGTCGTAACAGCCCGCGACCGCGGCGGCGTCCAGACTGCACTGCACGAGAAACGCTGCGAACCGAGATCAGGCATGAGATGGAAGACGAGGAAATCGTCATACCGAAGCTTGGTGTGGCAGCTTTTCCCTGCATGGTCACGCCTAGCAGCCGCGGCGGGGACAACGTGGCCAACGGAACGTTGACTTCTTCGCATATCTCTGTCGTGATCGAGTCAAAGAACTCGTCGACGCAACGGTCGTTCGTGGCACCATCGGGCACGGTGGGAAGGGAGCGCCAGTCGATATCGATGTGCTGCATAAATAGTCCTATGTCATGGCCAAGTTTTTTTGACACGTCGCTTCAAACCGTGGGTTCGGGATGGCCGCCTGGCACGTCCAGTAGGTTCGGGTACGCGCCGACGGTGGCGCTCCTCTTCAAAAAGCACAACTTGTCATCTGCCGTCACAAGCGCTACATGCGCGGATTCGGTCCATTAGATTAATTGTTGTTGTCGAAAGGAAGAGGAGGCAGTACCGGCGGCCACGCCGATTTTGTTGGACAAGTACATGGACACGTCTGGGTGGGTTGGCGTTCCGAGCGTGCTCACGACGTCGCAACGCGAGCACAGACCCAAGTACGTCTTGTAATCTGTGAGACCCCACTTCATGTGGAGCTCTGTTGGCGTCGCAGCGAACTCGGACAGTCTGAACTTCGTCCCGTTGAAGAGTTGAGGATTCGCGGCGAGTTTGGTTTCCCATGTATCGTGAATACTCTGCTCCAGCGCCATGGAAGGATGGACCTTGCGGTTATATGCCGAGGAGAGCTCAACCCGCACTTGAGAGCGCAAGTACGCCGCCCCCGACGTCGCGTCGAGGAACGACACACACCGCCGCTGCATGTCGGTGGTGTTGGAAGTTGACATTTGAATTCCCATAGATCTGATTGGCCAAAACTAAATTTGTTGTGTCGTTGGATTGGCTGAAATCCCAACAATTCCACCTCACGTTGGACGCAAATCTTCCGCAATCGCTCCGATGAACATGGGACTCACGGAGGCTGAAGTCAAGAAGATGACGGTACGGCGTGAAAACGATGCATGGTCCACGAGTTCTCATGAGTGCGCCGTGTAGGTCAAGCAGCTGCAAGACGCGTTGGCAAAGTATGCCCTGGACAAGAAGGGGGTGAAGGTAAGAACGACCATCGACGAGCGAGATCCTCAGCATGCCATCGTCATAACAATGATACCTGTAGGCGGACTTGCAAGCGCGACTCATCGAGCATTTGCAGGTACTCACCATCACCCCTCAACGTATTCCTCGCATTTCAAGGGACACATCGCTTTCCTCAGACTTCGGCAAGCAACGATGTGGATGCTGGTTCGGAAAGTGGTGCAAACGAGAGTAGTGGCCCCAAGGAGTCCCATAGCTCCGTCGAAGGTGCGTCGAATGATGACAGTTCTGCGTCTGAAGGTACGATGTCGGACTCGGTGGACCTAGAAACTACAGATCGATATGTAGCAAGTCTCAAGCAACTGGCGCAATCGCCTCGCAAGAGCGACACCCCAGCACCCACGACATCTACAGATACCGTATCCGCAGACTCGAGCGCTCCTGACGGACAGTCCAAATCGCCGGACGGCGGCAAGCGATCGCAGGACTCCCCCAGTGCCGTCGGTCCTACGAAGAAGCAGAAAACCACCCCACTCGACGCGATTCCAGACTCGATGTGCGGCATGGTAGTAATGTGACCACGCCCTCATTATTTGCTCAACTCGTAGGATCGCACCCACCCCCACGATTCGCATCGACAATTTCATTCGGCCTTTTACACTGAACGCCGTCAAGGTAAGCGACGGTGACGTTGTCGACATCGTGACTTTCTGGCACACGTCGTCGGCGCTTCTCATGGCGTGTGCATCTGCTGCAGGCCTTTGTGCAAGAGGAGGCGGCATTTGTTGAGAACGGGTTTTGGATGGACGCGATCAAGACCCATTGCTACGTCACGTACGCCACAACGGATGCGGTACGGGCACTTGGCATGAGGCACCGAATACGTCCGACCGACGTCTTGGTGTGGCTAGGCCATTGCAGCGAGAGGTCGCATCTACGGCACAACATGGCCCGAGCTCAGTGGCCGCCGGCTCACGGTCGAATTCTCGGCTGAGACCGCAATGGACATTGCGGTACGCTCCACACCCAGCCACGACCATCGTGTAGTCTCGTCAAAACCGAACGTGCAATAGGTGAAGCAAACCACCGCGGCCACGTCAGCAACTCGCCGTGGCAGCAACAGGCCGTCCCATGAGTTGCCCAAGCAGCAATCCAACAAGGCCACCACCGACGAGGCATTGACCAAGCGTAGGCTGCTCTTCCGCCGCACGCGATGATGGCCTAACCGTGCGGTGTTGCTAGCGCCCGTGGCCGCACAAGATCTCTTTTGCAAAACCAAAGCGGAACCGGCGCTGTTTTACCTCCCTGTCGATGACGACCTAGTCGCTCGACGCCGCGCGAATCTCGAAAAGAAGAAGCTTGGGCTCCTTCCACTCCGCCGCCGCTCCGGCCGCCATCGCCGAGGCGGTCGAAACAACCGCCGTGGCAATACACGCGGCAGCAATCGTGCGGCGGCTGCTCAAGCCTAACTGATCTAACAGGGCTGGCTGCATGTCGGCAAGATTGTTTGAAAAACACGGTGTGTATCTCTGTATTCGGCGCTGTACGGGAGGAAAAGAGCGGCAGCCACGACCGAGTACACGTGTCGACGAATGATCGGGCGCGTCGACCCTCACCTGGCTTAAAACTCAAACCCGATCGCGTCGAGCATATCCATCTCAAAAATGAGCTTGACTTCGGCAATCTGCGCCAAACAGGACGCCGTGTGCGGGCAGTGCTGCTGGATCACTCGTCGGAGGACGTCGCAGGCGTCCACGACTTGGGCGCACGACACTGGGTTCACCTCATGGCCCTCGGCCACGTTGTCCTCGGCACAATCCACGGCTTCTTCCCCAAAGATCGCCGCATACTACATTCGCGAGTTTGAAACGACCCCTTTGAAATATGGCTGGCTGGCAGCACTACAAACCATTTTGTGTTGCTGGTGGTACAACCAGTCGTAAATGAAGTCCTTGTACTTGCGGCACAGCATAGACCCGAGTGCGACTTGGTCGGCCTCCGACTGCACGAGCGCCACCAAATGGACCAGCGTAAACGAAAGCTACGCAACCACGTGACCATTTCGTACACTTGCAGCAATGGGTGGCTCGAAATCAACGACCCCGTACCTGGAGCTCGAGCTGCGCTTTGTACTTGTACTCGCTGATGTCGGTCAAGTCGACGGCGGCATCCAGCGCATCCAAGATTGTCTGCACAATGCCATGGAAAAACACCCCGTACGACGCCCGCGCGCACGAGATGCGAAGGGCCATGGCGGCACTGATGCGCACCTACCGCAGCATCGTCGCGTCAGCATCTCCACGTGTAGGCTCTTGCAGACTCGACATCGTCGTTCTTTCGTACTTTGAAGTTGTCTTGTTGCGCAATCGCTGCCGTGAGGGCGTTAAATACGGCGGGAGTCCACGGCGCCGACGCCAGCGGCAGAACAGGGCAATGAAACACCTTGGCTAACGCATGACAAGCATTCCATCGGACCTAGCACCGTCCGCTTGTTACGAGGCACAGCGCGCTGACGGCCTTCATACCTTGGGAGCCCCATCGACGACTTTCTTCGCGAGCACCGTCATGGCATCCGTGAGCAATGCCGTGTTTGCTAAGGTCTCAAGGTCGCCGGTGAAAGGCGTGCTGTGGTCCGACGCTTCCAAGTACTGCGCCGACACGATCCAACGGGTGAGCAGCCCCAGCGTCCGGACCACACTCGACGCAACCTTGTCGTTGTCGTCGACCAAGTGTAGCATGCACCGCAGGACTTGGTCAATGCTGTCGGGGGGCAGCAGCCGCAGCAGCCACGGGCTATGGCCCCAGTGCCCTTTCACAACTCAACGGCACGCATGGCACTCACCTGTCGGGAGAATCGGGGACGTCGGGGCCGGGAGTTGTGCACGCATTTCCGATGGCCCACACCACGCGTACGCGGACATTCAGCGTTGAATCGGTAGCGGCATCCATGCCCATCCGCACGATGGCGCCGATGAAGTCCCTCGTCTGGCAACAACACACTCAACGCACGTAACACGACCACAAATGGTCATGGAGACAAGTACCTTGAACACAGGGACGAGGGCCATCGCCCCGAGCAAGCGAAAGCCCGCGGCGCGCACCACTGGCGACGCATCGCGCGGGGTCGCCAAAAAGTATTCCATGAAGGCTGGATTGTCGGCAAATGCTGTCCATTCATCTGGTCGCAGCAGCGTAAAGCATGCGCAGACGCTGGCGCGTACGTGGTGCGACGGGTCTTGAAAGGCCCGAATCACATGCGTCGCCATAAACGCGAGCTGTGGAGAGCAGCACCCGTGAACTTTTGCAGCAGAAGTCGTCGCGTACGTGATGGGACGTGTGGTTGCCGCCCTTGACGTAGTTTTCCAAGATTTTGACTGCTTGCAGCCGCACGTTTTGGTCCATGTCGCGAAAGGCAGTCAGCAGAAATGCAGACAGACGGGGCCAGTGCGCACTACGCCAACCACGCAATCAGCCATCGCGACTCCAGGAAATGAAGGACCTCAACACGGTCGCGTAATTCTTGGCCGTCTTAGATAGCAGCGACATGGCGTCGAGACGATGGAGCATGCTCGTGGAAGCAGGTTCCCGAGGACTGGTGCCGATTCGACCGCCGCTCGACGAGTGGTGCGCGGCATGGGTCGACGAACTGCTTTTTGCCGGGCTCAGCATGTCTTCAATGAACCGACGGGAGCGCACGCGCAGCAGCGGCGTGGAATTGAAATGGTACAACGGCGACTCGACCGGCGGGGTGGGCTGCGACAGCCATGTCAGCACACTTGACACGGGCTCGGGCGTGCTAAGGAGGGCCGCGAGACAAGCCAACGCACTCACTCGCACCATGTGATCTACCAAGTCGTCACCATTCATCATCGTGTGGCGCCGTTCTACCTGGCGCGAACAACGCGTTGTGCAAATAATGCGCGAGCGCTTGCAAGATGGCATCCAGCGACAACGTGGCGGGCGTCGAACTCGCCTGGAGCATGTTTGGGTACGGGCACAGCGAGACGAGCGTCGTCAGCGTCTACGGGCCCAGGTGTCGGCGACCGCCCAACAACTCACACTACCTTCATCGCTTGCACTAGCACGGCTGTTTCGTGTTCGTACTGCAGCGTGTGCAAGACCACGAGGTGAACTTGATGAATCATGCGTACGAGGGCGCCGCCGGTTGTCGTAAAGGCCATCGACGACGCGTTCTTAAAGTTCTGGGACAGCGTGGCCTTGGCGTTGACGACGGGGAGCAGCAGTTCCAGCCAGTGGAGCACCTTGAGGCGCACTTGATCGTACGGGTCAACGACAGCCACGGTCAGCACCGACGGTTGGTGGTTGTACAAGACCAAGCATGGCGACGTGGTTGTTGGCAAGTACAGCGCCAGCGTTGGTGCGATAAGGTGGGGAAAACTTTGCAGCACGACTTCGAACGCCCGAACCACTTCGAGGCGCAACTTCGCCGCCAGCCCACTAGATCAAGTTAGACATTTGCGGCAGTGGCCACTCGTCGTGACGAGAAGGGGCGTTCGTACATGCCACGGTGGGATTGCGAGTGCTTGGAGGAGTCCGAGTCCGAATCCGACAGCGGCACGCGCCCGACAACCGCCGCGGCCGAGAGCGTCAGCCCGCAGCCTAAAGGTGAACCGAGGAGACTTTCGATAGGACGTTGCATCGTGCGAACTAGAGGTCGTAGCCAGAAACGGATCGGACGTACCCAAGAGGAGCCGAAGACTGTCCAAGACCTTAGGCATATGCGGCTCGACGACTCGACCGGGCGGCGCTGGAGTGCCTGAACTGCTAGTGTCAAGTTCCACCAGCCGCACCAGGCACTGTAAACTGGCGAGGCAGCTCTGCAGGCAAGTTCAAGCTTCTGTGCTTGAGAGTCAAAAAGATGGTCACCTTGTAATGCGTGCGGTTTGTCGTCCACACCACGCGAGGCGCGTCGCTGTGGAGCTGTCGTGTTTGCTGCTGAAAGTTGTCCATGGTGTGCTTCCATAGTGACGCAAAGTATGGCGGCGGAGCTTCAGTCACAGCGACGAGGTGAGCCATGCACGTGGTTGCGGCATATCGTGCGCCAACGTCGGCGCTGGAAGGGTCCAAGTGCGGGGTGGCCGCCGCATAGATGGTGTCATGGAGAGGGGCGGCAGACGCGGCGTTGTCTGCGAGGATGATCGACAGTGTCGTCAAGATTTGCTCGGCATACCTAGCCATTTGAGGATGACCAGGGTGTCAGCGAGAAGTCCTACCATGATGGGCAATGGGATAGCGCTGCAAGGAAGAACGGGATGAGCACTTGAAGTTGGTCTGATGTCAATGTCAACTTGTCCTTGCAGCAGTGCCGCACGACAGACGTGAATTCAGACACAAGTAGCTCCGATCTGGGTGGTAGCGCTTCGGCAAGCGCCATCAGCATTGCCCCGACCTCATCCGTGCGCATCCGCACTGGTGGCATTGACAGCGTCATAATCTCGGCAAGGATCGCATCGAGTTCTGCACTTGAGAGCACGGCTGCGTTGTCTTTGCGCAGACGCAGCCGAATGCTCTCCCAGACGCGTGCGGATGACAACTTCGCTCGGTTCGCTTGCCACATGCGAGAGAGTTGTTTTGACGGCAGCGCCAGGCGACTTGGGAAGCGGCGCCAACGGGCAGATCTCGTGGAGTTTGTCCAGCACAAACAACACGGTGATTGTCCGGATAATACATTCAAATTATCCGGGTTGTCAGCGTATAAATTGTCAGAGGACAACACATCTCAAGCGGGACTTACACAGCACCATGGCGCACCATGAACTTGCGGATGCTGTGGTGTTGGGCTACCGTGATCTGTCGGCGGCAGGGGTGCGACTTCTTCACCATGTGACTATTGACGGCATGAATGTAATGGAGGAATCGTTGGACATCCATGGACAGCCTCTTCTCATTCGCAACTTTGTCGACGAAAGCACGAATCGACCAAAGCTCTCGGTGCTCATTGTGCCCGGGTCTGTCCCCGCGGATCTTTGCACGTTGATGTGCGCCGAGATTGTGGACCTGCTCCAAGGAAGCAAGAACGTTCTTGTATTGAGCTCTCTCAACCTCCCGATGACTAGCGAACAAGAGCACATCGTGTTCTGGAAGCAACTCCACACGACAACTCCACTTGCCCTCGCCGACTTGGACTTCGAACCCGTTCCTGCAAACAGTCGATGGACGGTGAAAGATCAGTTCCTGAGTACCCTGCTGCACTTTCTTCATGTTGAATACCTCCCCGTCACCCTCCTCGTCGTTCGCGGATACAAGTATTCGAATTCCCCAGTCGACGGCACCACCGAGGTATGTCGCACGAGAACGTCGTTCCCGTTGTCCCCAAATTTACGAGTCTTGTGCCAGGTCCTTCTCAAACTGGGTCACGCTACCCCCGTCGTGATGCAAGAGCTCGGCATGGCGACCAAAGTCGCCGTTGACGTCCAAGCGGCTGCTGCTTTAGATGTGGCGACCGCCACCGATCAATTCTCCACTCACTCGTTGCTGTACAATTAATGTTTTCGTTCGAGCCGATATTGAACAGCGTTTATGTGATGCCACGTGCTCGGTCGGTTGCAGCGGCCCCGCAAATCCAGGGACCTGCCGCACTGCTTGATGACAGCATGTTCACGTCACATCCGACGTCGACAATGCCGTGGATTTTGGCGACTTTCGCCACCTAGCGCACTACAATTCTCGTTCATTCTGTACATTGCTGGTGTGCTACAGATAATTCACAAGCACCTCCACGGGTCGGCACTTGGACCGTCGTGGTCGTTGTGGCGGCGGGCACAAGTTCGAGGTAGGTGGGGTAGTTGCATGCAGTCCAAGCCTCTTCTTCGACATCAGTCGTCGTCAGGGAATTGCCGATGGTTTTTGGTCGTTCAAGTACTGTCGGGCACCTGCACAGAGCGGCGCAAGCGACGAACATCCTTCCTCGACATGGTGAAGAACGGCGCGCACGGTCGACCTTCCATCGTCGGCCGGCGAGACTTGTTCGAGCAAGTACAAGATGACGTGGCACTTTGCAGTGACGTTCTCGAAGTGCTGCGCTTTCTCGAGAGGGTCGACGTTGGGCAGTGGCACTTGTCGCTGGAGTTCGTTGTACGCCAAACATCTACGGCAAGGACAGTCCCAGGTCGATTCGACCGCGCGTTGCCACGTACTTGAGGATGGAGACTGTCACTTCTTCCACATGCGCTGGCATACGAATCCATGCCGCCATGACGATCGCATGCAGCGTCTCCAATGCTTCCATACACATGGTGGCCTCGACATTCTCGACGCAGCCAAGGGTGACCTTGAGCAGCGCCTGGAGGAACCGCAGCACGTGAAGGCTATGCGGCGCGCCCGTCCTCTGCACCCACACCCGAATGTGCTTGGTGAAGATCGTTTTCACAGATACTTCGAGCGCCATATCCCATTGTCGAAGCAACGATGGAAAGAAGCGATCGTACAGAGAGATGTCGCGCGGGCCAGTACTGAGGACGGCCAAGAGGTCGGCAAGGCAGGCAAGCGCTGCGTCCAAGAATGACGCGGAAGTTGACGCAGTTGTGAGCGTCTGCTCCATCTCGTGAACGAGCAAGTCCGAGTACCATCGGATATCCGTGGTAGTTGCATGACGAATGATGTGGTGGAGAACGGACAGACCGACGAGTTGGGTGGATGCCGTGACTTGGTCGAGGAGAGGAAGCGCCAGAGCGAGAACGCGCCCGACGATGTCGCTGGTAAAGTGGGGAAAAGGTATTTGCAGAATGAACCACGCAAACGCATGAGGTGCAGCAGCACCTGTGACTACCCATTCTTCCTTGGACGACTTGGACGCGAAGAGCGAGAGGATGCGGGGGAGCAGGCTGGCAAAGAGTGTGAGTGAACAACAACGGTAGAGTGAGTGCACTGCACCGTGGAAAAATGTCGACCGCATTTGTCATGGTCGTGGCGGATTCACGCGGACGCAATCGCCGGTGGACCATTTCAATGATGCGTTGTGCAGCCGCTCGGCTTTCGTGAGTCGACGGCAACGTGGACGATCTTGTGCAAAGGTAGAAGGTACATGCATGCGTCATAGATGCAGCCCACCCGTCGATGGCAGTTGTAGACGACGACGACGACGGCATCGCAATGTCTTCGTACAGAGCTACGAGAATGTGCACGATGCGGAACACTGGCAAGGCAATAAGGTCGATGCTACTTGACGGACATGAAGACGTCAAATTCCCATATTGATATCTCATGGCGATTCGCACGAGGATATCTGCACAGTCTGTCCACGTCGTGTCCATAGATGGAAGGTTGCAAGTCGGTTGCACGACATCCCCGGTGCTTGCCTCGAGGCGGTCTAGAGATTCCTCCATCTCCAATGTGTACAAGACTCCTTCTTCTTTGCTTTGCTTCATCAGTTGCGCCTGGATTGGACGCACGCATGTTGCATTCAGCTCGTCGACGAACCGCGCGACGTCCATCCTGTCGTCGTCCGACTTCAAATTCTGTCGAAAGTGCCAAAACCTCTATAAATCGATAATTCGCCGCATCAGCTCGATGACACCAGACCTACTACAAGTGCTCGGCCGCTGCTCCAACTACGCAGTACAACAACACGGCAGCCAGCCGCGTTCGTCGACGGCAGATATGACGCCATTGAATTGATCCCTGCCGAGAGTTATCCCATGACTATTCATCCAGGGTCCAATGCACAGGTCTTGTACACGTTTGCCAAACTCCCTCATCATCTCGAAAGCGTTCACGGGCAAAACCTTTTTTCACACCTCCTTCGTTCGTGTGTTCTTCCGGCGCTACCACCATCCCATCCTTACAGGGGAGACGATACGACAACAGTTTGCAGCCGGAATGAAATCATTCCAATTACGTTAGAGCTTCCCTTCTTTAACATTCTGACCCAGCTCCCATACATGACGAGGAGACCCCAGCCAAGATGGTATCCAGTATGAATTTGTCACGGACGACGACTTAGTAGTAGATCTGGAACGCAGGCCCCATCGTGCTCTTCAAGTACAGCACCTTGATGTTTTGCCAGTTCTTCTTGAGCAACGAGGCCAAGAAGTTGGCGGCCAACTGGGTGTTCACCACAATTTCTTCCTTGGTTTGGCCGACATGAGCGACCGCCAAGTTCAAGCACATGACCTTCTTCATTTGGAACTTGATCGTGGCGCGGACGGCGTTGGCCTTGTCGTTGATGTCTTCGTTACCAGAGAGCAACGTCGGGAACTTGCCGGCCTTGGTGAGGGCGGGCCCGAGCAGACGCGGGATTTGCTTGATCAACGAGTCGGATGCAAGGAACGCGTCGTACTTCTTGGCGTACTTCTTGATGACCTTCTTGTTCTTGTTGAACTTCTTCAAGTCGTCGACGGTCGAGAATTCAAACCCGTTCTTTTCGGCCAACTCGCAGTGCTGCGCGTTACCGATCACGCAGATCTTGAGGTTTGGCTTGGGCACGGTCGGCAGCTTGAACGTGCCGCTGAATCGCTTGTCCTTTTGCGGGTCGTAGTTCTTCAAAGCGATTTGAAGCTCGATCGTTTCATGGAAGTTGCGCTTCTTGCCCTTCACTTCTTCCTTGCCGACCGTGATGGTTTCGCCCTTCGAGAAGGCCAAGATGTCCTGTACCGCTTTGTCCAACAAGTCACTGTTCAACTTGCTCATACTTTAAAGTGTCGCTGCGCAGAACAACTCCAAAGGGAAAGTAAGCCACGGCTGGCCATCCTGCCACCTCAACCAGCCACTTCATGCGCCGCACTCGCCCAATCATACCCCGCCGTAACTTCCACCAATCAAACGCCGTGTCTGGGTACTAAGGCATACTAGTTATCTCCTACTAGCATTGGGTGGGCTTCTTACAAAATGCAAGTCCATCCCCACCGAATTTACGCACAGTGCATAGTATTACTACATGATACAGTGTATATACTCGTTTTGTATTGATATACAAGCTAGAAGATAAATCTACGACGACGCATGTGATTGGGGCATTCAACGCACTCGAAATATACAGCCTTTCGCGTTGCCGCCGGTGTTCAACGCCAATGCATCCATCAGTGGCTTGAGTCAAGCAATGTCGCTGCCCATCTCGGCCATTCGATGCACCGCATGCTCCCAAGTAGCACGATTTATGTCGCTCGGAGCACATTTGTTCAAGAACGTTTTGTTGGTTTGAGGCAATAGCGAGGCTTCCACAAAAGTGACGGGCTCGCCCACTGTGCCATGCAAGCGGATAAGGTTCTGGCGAGAACTGCGCTCCTTTGACATCCAATATATGTACTCACGGAACGGCATCAGGTTCCGCAGTACCGCGCTGGATCCAGATGCTGTGGAACTGCATAACCTGTGAGCAATTATACTATTCACCCGGCAGCGTGGGACAATCGAAACGACAGGTGCGCAATACTCCAGGCGCCACATCGGACCTGCCGAAATTTATACCCCAACCCCTGCCCCACGTTCGTTGCTGACTTGGTGGCCAACTCACTTGATATTTGTATATCTATAGAAACGTGCCATACAAAATCCAAGTCAGATTCGAGATTTTGGGGATGGAATTGCATGGTGGTTGACTTGGAATTTGTATTGAGTTTGCTTTGTTGCGATCTTCATTCAACTAGAGCCTTCGATTTTCCCCCTCTCATTTCCAGTTTTACTCGGTTCAACTCAAGTGAAAATGGCTTCCGTCGCGGACGTCTCCGCCGTGGCATCGGATGCTACCGCCTTTGGCTTGATCATTGGTTCGACTGTGTTCGGTCTTCTCTTTGCGGCCTTCCTCTTCTGGCAAGTGTCCAAGATCCAAGTGACCCGCCGTGGCGAAACCTACGCGTTGTTGTCGCAAGAAACTCGCGGCCAAACCGCCGACCGCTTGTTTGAAATTTACAGTGCCATTCGCGAAGGTGCGCAAGCCTTTTTGTTGGCGGAATACACGCTCTGCCTTGCCTTCATCGCTGTGTTCGGCCTCGTCATCTTTGTGTTGACGTCGTACGTCAACAAGGCTGACCAAGTCTTCGACTGGACCTTCGGTGCATTGACTGCCACTGCCTTCGCTGTGGGTGGTTTGACCTCGATCTTGGCCGGATATGTGGGCATGATGGTCGCCGTGTACGCCAACGCGCGTACCACAGTGTCTGCAATGAAGGATGGCGCTGCCGGCTGGCAAGACTCGTTCAACACGGCTTTCCGCGCTGGTGGTGTCATGGGTTACTCCTTGACTTCGCTCGCGTTGTTGGTATTGTTCATTTTGATCGCTTCCTTCGAAAACGTGTACCCTTTGGCTACGGACGCCAAGCGCCTCTTCGAAGCCGTAGCTGGTTACGGTTTGGGTGGTTCGTCCATTGCCCTGTTTGGTCGTGTTGGTGGTGGTATCTACACCAAGGCTGCCGATGTCGGAGCCGATCTTGCTGGCAAGGTCGTTGAAAACATTCCTGAAGACGACCCGCGCAACCCCGCTACCATTGCCGACAACGTCGGTGACAATGTCGGTGATGTCGCCGGTATGGGGTCGGACTTGTTCGGCTCGCTCGCCGAATCGACCTGCGCTGCCCTTGTCATTTCCACCCAATCTGCCGCCATCATCAAGGCTGGCTGGGCTGCTGTCCTTTTCCCTCTTGAAATCACCGCCATTGGTATATTTGTCTCTGCCCTCACGTCGTTCCTCGCCACCGACTTGTGGCCCGTGAAGAAGGAAGCGGATGTCGAGAACGTCTTGAAGGTGCAATTGTTCGTTGCCACCGCTCTGATGACGGCTTTGACGTACCCTCTTGCCAACGGTGTGTTGCCTGCCACCTTTGCCATTGGTGCTGACTACGTTGCTACCCCTGCCACCGCTTTTGCCTGTGTGTCTGTTGGTCTGTGGGGCGGTTGCTTCGTTGGCTTTGTCACTGAATACTTTACCTCGCACTCGTACACCCCTGTTCGTGAAGTTGCCCAATCGTGCGAAACGGGTGCTGCCACCAACATCATTTACGGCCTCGCTCTTGGCTACAAGTCTGCCATTATCCCGATCTCGATCATCTCCATTGCTGTGTATGTGGGCTTCCACTCTGCCGGCATGTACGGTGTTGCCCTCGCTGCCCTTGGTTTCTTGGGTACGCTTGCCACTTGCTTGGCGATTGACGTCTACGGTCCTATCTGTGACAACGCTGGTGGTATTGCCGAAATGTCGGAGCTCCCTGCCGAAGTCCGTGACAAGACTGACGCTTTGGACGCTGCCGGTAACACGACTGCTGCCATTGGCAAGGGTTTTGCGATTGGGTCGGCTGCCCTCGTTTCGTTGGCCTTGTTCGGTGGTTTCGTGACGCGCATTGAAGAAACCTCGATCAACATCTTGTCGCCCATCACGTTCGCCGGTTTGTTCATGGGTGCCATGTTGCCATACTGGTTCACTGCCATGACGATGAAGTCGGTCGGTACCGCCGCCATGGAAATGGTGAAGGAAGTCAAGCACCAATTCGCCACCATCCCCGGTCTCCTTGAAGGTCTTCCCGGCCACGGTCCTCCGGACCATGCCCGATGCATCAAGATCTCGACGGACGCCTCGCTCCGCGAAATGATCGCCCCTGGTTTCCTCGTCATCTTGTCTCCCATCCTTGCCGGTACCTTTTTCGGCACCCATGCCGTGTCGGGCTTGTTGGTCGGTTCGTTGACGTCGGGTGTGCAATTGGCTATTTCGCAATCCAACACGGGTGGCGCCTGGGACAATGCCAAGAAGTATGTTGAAAAGGGCTGCGTGTCGATTGAAGACAAGGACGGCAAGTTGATTGTCCAAGGCAAGGGCTCTGCCATCCACAAGGCCGCCGTCATCGGGGACACTGTCGGTGACCCGTTGAAGGATACCTCTGGCCCTGCCCTCAACATCTTGATGAAGCTCATGGCGATTATCTCGCTTGTGTTTGGTGACTTCTTCAAGGGCATCAACAACGGCCGCGGCTTGCTCAACGTGCCCCAAAACTAAATGGTCGCATCTTGATGTGGCTCGCACGTATCTTTCCCCTTCGCT